TGTCCTCACTTCTTAACAAAGTAATATGTGCTTCTTACACCACCATAGCTCAAACGTTTCTTTTCAAACATCGATTGAAACTTATTTTGAGCCATTGGCTTTAGTCTCTTTTTCTTCAAATACGCCAAGAAATCTTCTTCACATCTTTTCACTTCATAGCCTTCTTTAAACTCCTCCTTGTTAAGTTCTATGAAATCCTTTATCTCATTCTTTGTTGCAATGGCTTCTTCACGAACGACATCATGAACTATTTCATCATTGTTCTCATGAACGACCTCCTCACTGTTCTCATGAACTATTTCATCATTGTTCTCATGAACGACCTCCTCACTGTTCTCATGAACTATTTCATCATTGTTCTCATGAACGACCTCCTTACTGTTCTCATGAACTATTTCATCATTGTTCTCATGAACGACCTCCTCACTGTTCTCATGAACTATTTCATCATTGTTCTCATGAACGACCTCCTCACTGTTCTCATGAACTATTTCATCATTGTTCTCATGAACTACCTCCTTACTGTCTTTCATAAGCGTTTCAAAGTCTCCTTTACTCATTACTTCAATCTCATGCTGTTCACAGTAGTACTTAAACTCACTGTATATGTCTTTGTTGTATGTTATATTGCTTCCCATGTACTCCATGAATTTTTCAAGCACTTCCTCATAATTCACTGTTTCTTTCTTTCCACGACCTTCTATTATCATACTTGCTTCGTAAATATAACTTCTTGCAGAACCGTCTCGCTTTCTACTTCTCTTCACAAATTCTCTCATCTTGCCACCAAATACATTTGAACTACATGCAAAGAATTCATTTTCCTTCGCAAATTCTTTATATCTTCTGTAGCACTCTGTACAATTCCATCCGGATACAAACTTTTCATAGAACTCCTCGTAAAACATTTGGTAAGGTGTTTTGTTCATTTCGATGAGTTCTTGTTTAGCCCTGGTGAATGGTATCTTCCTTACATCAAATTCACTTAAATCTTTCTTCATGAAGTACGTCAGTAAGTTTGAATAAAACTCTTCATTAAAGCTTTCAATGAGATTTGAGAAATATTCGTAATTTCCTTTGTATCTGCTGCTTACGTCAATGACAACAAATCTTCTGTCGTCTTTGTCAATCTTTACTGAGTTGAAGTTGTTAGATATCATGATGATATTACAAACATTCTCTATCTTTCTTACTGGCTGACACTTCTGATTTAAGTCCAACTGAGTCTCTGTTACTATTGACTTTAGTGCGTCGTGGTTCATGACCTTAGACGTATCGCATGAGCTTAGTTCATTGCATACGATGAGCTTCATGTTCTCAATAGCAGCATTGAATCTACCAACCACATTCTCTATTGCCGTTATATTATTGTTGGCGTACTTGCTAATGAGCTCGCATAGAACATTACTAAGTACATTCTTACCAGTTCCTTGCTTTCCTATTAACAAAAGTACTGTTCCAGTCTTTCCACAAGGATTTTGAACGATGTAGGCGAACCAGTTCAAAACATACTCATAAAGCTCTTCATCCTCATTACATATGACATCGTGAACATGTTTCAAATATCCTTCAATAACGCTTTCATCTACTTCATTCAGTACCTCATACTCATATCCTCTGAAATAGCTGTAAATGTCATCTCTTTCGTCAAAGAATCTCATGCCTGACTTCATAAGATAGTTCTTGTTCTGACCCGCTTCATAAATCATCAGTGCGTTCACATCCTTCTCCTCAATACGTCCTACATAAACACTCTTCATGAGCTTATTGAATTCCTTGCTATCTACTGACACAAGTGTTGTTGTGTCTCGTATTCCATCATAATCTTTCACTAGATATGTCATACGTGCTCCGTCAATAACAACAACACATCTTCTTAAGTCATTTATAACACTAGCTATGTCAATACCTTCTTCACTCATGTACTTATTTCTTCTCAAGTCCTTTAGTGTGAAAGTGTCTCTAAGTTCTATTTCAAACAATTCATTTACACATCCTTTGCAATACTTCTCTATAAAATATTTCTGTCGTTCTTTACTAAGTTTCTTAACAGCTCTGAAGAACCATGTGTTTTGACTCAAACATCCTTCACAACTTCGAGTGTGGTAGAATTTACGAAAAAGTGACACTTAACCTTAAATTTCCAAACACTATTTTTTGATTGTATTTTGTTATTTATATATTTATATATATAAATATATTTATATATGTATATTTATATATGTATATATTTATATATGTATATATTTATATATGTATATATTTATATATGTATATATTTATATATGTATATATTTATATATGTATATATTTATATATGTATATATTTATATATGTATATATTTATATATGTATATATTTATATATGTATATATTTATATATGTATATATTTATATATGTATATATTTATATATGTATATATTTATAAAAAAAAAAAAGGGATTGGGGCTTCCAGGGGCTGCGCCCCTTCTAGCCCCGAAGATGTTTTGTCACTTTTCAGGGAAAAAACATTTTTATTGTATATAAAATGAATTTTACAAAACCACCGTTACCCTTCTTTGGAAATAAGAGTAGATGTAAAGATATTATATTGAGAGAACTTAAGAAACTACCGAATGGTCTAACATTTGTAGATTTGTTCGGTGGAAGTTTCTATATATCTCATTTGTGCCATACCGTATTCCCAGACTCAAAGATTATATGCAATGACTTCGACAACTATATGAACCGTCTCAAACATATACCAGACACAAACAAAATATTGAAAGAGTTAAAAGAAAAGATACCTATAGGTAAGATGGAACGTATACCATTAGATAAGAAAAATACTGTCAGAGAGGTTTTGAAAAAAGCAGAGTATATTGACTGGGATAGTATATCTTCTAGACTATTGTATAGTGGTTCTATAAGAGTTCATGACATTGAAACACTTATGTCAAACGTTTTATATCTTAACTATACAAAGGTTTTCAAAGAGAACATAGAAAAATATACTGAGGGTATAGAGTTTGTGAGATGTCGTTGGACAGAGTTGTATGAAAAATATAAAAACAAGGAAAATGTTTTCTTTATAGTAGACCCACCGTTCTATAACACATACGATTTTCAATACCAAGTAGACTGGACTTTGAGAGACTCTTTAGAAACTTTAGACGTTTTACATAACCATCCATGCTTTTACTTTACATCCGATAAAAGTGGTTTGGAAAGTGTCATGAGATGGTTAGAGGATATACATGACTATGATTTTAGATACGATAAGATAGAATATGAGAGAGGTCCTATAAACCGGAAAAAGTGTCATAACAAAGAAATTTTATTGGTAAGTAAATGTGGTTTGAAATAGGACTACTTGTTTTAGGTTTTTTCCATTGTGTCATTTACTTATTTGACGTGGCAGAAAGATATAGAGAATATGAAGATGAACCACTGCCTGCAAATGTTCAGCATATGTACTCGTAAGAGATATTTTTATCTAATATTAAATGGACGCACAGAACTTAGCGAATGCACAGCAACCTGGACAACCAAACCCAGAGAATATTCCAAATGAAGTTAGAATACAAACTGCAATGGCAAACTATGGTCAAGTGCCAACAGATGTACAAATGCAAACTGCCATGTCAAATGACGCTGCGTTAGGTTTGCCACCATGGTATGCAAATATGAGATGGAAAGAGTTTTATACAAACCCTGAAGTGGGATATAAACAACTCTATGCAGATGACGCGAACACAGGAGTTGACCCAGAGTATGTTTTCTACCAGAGGAGAAATAGAATGTATGAGCTCCAGTTAAAAAATGCTATGGAACTCAGAAGGAAACGTAAGAGACTAGGCGGACATTAGATTTTTACATATAGTAAAATGGGTTTCTTTGGAAGAATAGGAAACTTCTTTCGAAATGTTGGAAGAGGTATATGGAATGGAATAAAAACCGTAGGAAGAGGAATTTGGAACGGAGTCAAAAATATTGGTAAAAGAGTAGGTCAGTTCGTTGGTATTATACCTAAAGACCCTGAACCAGAAGAACAAGCTCCTGTTATACAACAGCCTGAACCTGCACCACAGTCAAGTTGGCAACCAAATCCAACACCTCAACCGTATTAAAATTATATTTTTACCGTTCGATAGTAGTTGTATATGAGACTAAGTTCTAAGTAAAACGCATGGTATAATGGAACTATTCTCTTTCTTCCATCTGTAGTAAACCATACTTGAAAGTCTGAAATACTTCCACTCGGTGGTTCATATAGCTTTGTAGGTTTTTCGTAAAAGTCATTTGCCAAGCATAAAAAAGAGTTTTGTGCGCCAGAAAATGAAGCATGAACTATAATAGCATCTGAGTCGAAAACATTTTCATATGTTCCATTAGGGTTTTCGACTTCATAAAAGTTCGGGTGTACTGGATATTCTGCAGGCTGATTTAACATCCTCAAAAATCTATACCATGCCAAGTTGTTATATTTTGTAGAAATATAAACGTCTTCTCCAAGGTCTTCTATTCTATTGATTTTAACAGTTGCATTTTTCCTGTCATAAACAATATGAGATGGTACTCTCCTTCGTCAATGTTAAACTGGTTTGCATATTCGAGATAGATATCGTTTATTTTTTCTTGAAAAGCTTGAAGAGTTTGTTTCTAAGTTTACAAGCAAATTCACTTGTAAAAGTTTTCCCTGTTCAAATTTCTCATACGTACGTTTTTCTTTGTTATAGTATCGAACTTCAAAAGCGACCGTAAATGGGAAACCATGTATGGCTTCTGAAATGAACTTCATTCTACGAAAGCCAATAGCTTTTGTGACGGATGGGTCTCTTAACCATCTTAACGGGTAGTCAAAACGATAGCCTTCATGCTTTACGGTCTCTGTCTCAAACTTTTGACCGACATTCGTAAAAAGTTCATCTAATGGTTTAGTTGTAGCAACTCTTGAATTTTCTTTTTCTATTGAAAGCATATTTTATCTAGAATAAAAATGTCGAATGAAACAGCGTCTATGAGAGAAATACAACACAACCGACAACTCATTGTACAAGCTCTAAATAAGAACACAACAAACTTTTCAAACTATTCTAAGATATCTGAGTCATTGAAAGAAGGAAACTTAAAACTGACATTAAACCCATTGACAGACGAGTTTCTATTTCAAGACAGTAAGAACCATACTGTTTGTATAAATCCAACAAAAAGAACTTTAAACGAGAAACCTATAGATGAACTTCTTTTGAAAGCAGATATTGACAACAAAGCAGATAAAACATATGTTGACGATGAGTTAGCATATCTGGCTAGTGGGTTAGTGAAGAAGGCAAATAAGGAATATGTGGATGAAAAAGATGAAGAAATTAAAAAAATGGTTGAATGGTACCATGAACGGACATCGAAGATTTTAGAAGGTAAAGCCAATACAGGGTGGGTTTCAGAATGTTTAGACCTTAAAGCTGACAAAACATATGTTAACGATGAGTTAAAGAAGAAAGCAGACTCGACATGGATAGCTGGATATGTAGATGCAACAAAAGAGTATATTTTCGCATGGACAGAAGGAACATACTCACAAAAATATCATAGACATAGCATCTCTGACGTAAATGAACTTGAAGAAAAGTTATATACAAAAGCAGACAAAACATATGTTAACGATGAGTTATATAAGAAAGCAGACAAAACAGAGCTTCAAACATTAAAGACAGAAATACTTCAAACACTATATCCTATAGGTTCTATTTATACGTCAATGAACTCTACCAAACCAGAAGTAGTACTTGGTTTTGGAACTTGGACTCAAATAGTCGACAGGTTTTTGTATTGTGCAAACTCTTCAAAGGAAACAGGTGGAAGAAAACGATTTCAGTGAAAACTTACCTGCACACAGTCACTACATAGATTTAAGTACATCTCAAGCAGGTTGGCATAAGCATAGATTTTGGGATTGGTCAGCAATGAAAAAGGTAAAGGATATGATGTTAAAGACAACGTTCAGTTTGCTATAAATTGTTTCTGGGGTAGCACACAGGGAGAAGGAAACCATACACATCGCGTTTCAGGGTATACGCAAACAACGGACAAAGTAAAGACTACATGCCACCTTACATGACAGTTTACGCATGGTATAGAAATGCTTAGTCGTCATTTTCAACTTCTTTAGCATATTCGTCAGGAGTTGTCTTATATTTGTTAGGAACTGTCTTTGAAAGTATACCACCTTGACCTTTAACAAGTTTGAAAACGAGGTCTGACAATAGTAGTTTTATCTTCTGCTTGCAGTCTGTACATTTTGCCATGTTTGCCTAAAACTTCATAATATTCTCTTGTATACTTTCTTCTATTTTTACGAACACGAACGTGAGTACCTGTCGAGTTCCCATTGTTGTCATAGTCAATAGTATTTTCATATGGGTCGCGTTTAGGTATTTCTATTTTTACTTTGTCACCTTTCTTAAGTTTGAAAGCCTGGCATTCTTTCTTGTTTGTCTCTTTTGACTAAACTATTAAATATATAGTCTTTCTCTAAGTCAGGGTTGTTTTTCATTTCTTCGGGGGAGTGGTTTCCCAAACCTTTTTGTTTACGGCTATTGTAAATATTAAAACTTGTCTCATCTTTGCCATGGAGAAGTGTCTATACTTGTCGTCATATGACATTTCATCTACCTCACCACCTTGTGGTTGGTTTAAGTCTCTTAAGATTTTTATACAACTGTCAATGACACCAAGAGCAGAATGGTTTTGGTCGACAATGAAATATTTGGTTTACATTTTTTGAACGCAGATATTTTTAATATCGTCTGATTTGAAAGAACTTTCACAGTCAGATGTCAGTTTTGTTGGATGGTATTTGTCAACGAATATTGTCAAAGCAGTTTTCACATCTAAAATATTTTTGGACCATAATGGTATGGCTTCACAGTATCTTGTGTTTTGACCGACAAATATTAGCCAGTATGGTGGTCCATCTTCTCTATATCTCGGAATGTTTTCCAAGATATCCATAAACCAAGCATTTGGTGTTGAACTAAAGATTTTTACCATGAGTGCTTTCTTTGTCGCTTTAGAAACATACGGGTCCTTGTTTGAATTCGTCATTTTTAACCCATAAGAAATGGGTTTATTTGGCGCAATAGCAGGAGTCGCATCTAGATTTTTGCCAGCAGTGGGAACACTAGCCAGAGGTGCATTTGGAATTGGAAGGAAGATTTTGAGTACATTAGGTATACTGAAAGAGAAAGCACAACCTATTATACAAACCGTACAGAAAGGTTGGGATGTAGCACGAGATGCAGCAAATCTTATTCCAAATCCTGAAACAAGAGGAAAAGTTCAAGGATGGATGGACAATGTAGGAAGACAAGCAGGAAACTACTATAACAAAGCAAATGACTACTATAACCAAGCAGGGCACTACATGGACCAAGGTGAAAGATTCTTTAACAGAGGATATAACCATGCACAACAGTGGGTAAACAACAACCAACCTCAACCACCTCAAACTTGGGGAATGTAAATTTTTTTACTGAGATGAAATGAACAATACAGCATTGAGACAAATGGGCTCAAGATGGCTTTGTCGGCTTCCAGCAGTTACACAACCACGTGTTTGTCAAGTCCTCCCTATACCTCAAGAAGTTTTAGACCGACTTAAAAAACCTCAACAACCAGTTGAAAACAAACCAAACTAAATTTTTTTACTGAGATGAAATGACCGAAGAAGTTGAAACAGTAGATTTGACACCACAAACAAAAAGTTCAGAACCATTGTCAAAACCTGTCAAAGAACTTACAGATGAAGAGAAAAATTCAATAATAGAAAGTGTGAGGTCTGGAAATACAAACCCTAACTACAAAGTCACTTTTCATAAAAATGGAACGGCAAGTATCTCAAAAAAGAAACAGACTCTCACAAATAAAATATTGAAGTCTGAAGGAATTTTCGAGACAACAGATGGAAAAGTTTACTTCACTGACCAACAGTTCATTATAGAACATCTCATTGACTTAGAGTCGAAATATTCTAAACTTTACAACAAACACAAAAAGTTGAAAGGAAAACAGAAACAGATGGCATATGACATTTATGAAGATGTTAACGACACAACCATACCTGCAAGTGAGGTAAAGTCAAATGAACCGAAAAGTGACGAAAAACCGATAGAAGAAGGGGAGCCAAAAACTGAAGAAAAACCAAAACCAAAGTTTAGTCTCCAGACTAAACCAAGCCAACCTTCATTAGCTGGTATGGGTTGGCGTCAAAGACTTATGGTAGCAGGTGGTTACGTAAAGTAAAAGGAAAAACATTTTTTTATTTTTATTTGAACTGTACGCTGAGTCTGTCGTAAAAGACCGTTGGGAAGACATAGATGAAGAAGTCTTAACAAAACATTGACGATGAAGTTCATGAGAAATTAGATGAAGAAAGTTCATGAGAAATTAGATGAAGAAGTTTTGACAAAACATTGACGATGAAAGTTCATGAGAAATTAGATGAAGAAGTTTTGACAAAACATTGACGATGAAAGTTCATGAGAAATTAGATGAGAAATATGAAATGGCATACCATTTTAAAACAGTATATTTTTTTATTTTTATAAAATGCCCCCGTATAGAATGGACAGAAGGTCTGCTCGAATAAAAGCAGAGTTAGAAAGATATGGTTGGAGAGTTTCAAAGAAGTTTAAATATAGGAAGGGAAAGCCAATAAAAGTCTATGACAAACTGGCTGGTCTGACCTATGAAATGGACTTGGAAACAGCGCGCGCCAACTATCCAAACAGACTAGAGAGGTTAGAAGAAGAGCGTCTTATGAACATGCCTTTCGATGTTACTGAGCCTCAAGTTGAAGGACACGACGGCTTTGCCAGATTCTACTGGAAACATAACGAACAATTGTATCCTTTGAGAAGGAAAAAAGGAAAAGGTGAAGACGCACATGCTCCAATGGAAAGAACAAGATATGCATATGAGAAGTATCGTGAGGTTCGAAGTCAAATTGCATCTGGTCGAACCTTTACAGTAAACTTTGAAGAAGGAAAGAACAAAGAAGGCTTCATGGGTGTACTTGCTGCAATTCAAGACGGAAATAAGAAAGGATACAATCTCAGACTAACCGTAACAGATTTAGATGGTCATATATACTATCACATGGCAATGTCACAACAGCCGCAATGCTTCTTGACGCTTTCAAGACTACAAAGAGAGAACAAATGTTTGACTCCGACTCAGATATTTTGAATGCGATTGAAGGAATTGCAAGCGTGAAGTTTGAATGGTACCAACCCAACCCTCAAGCAGTCAGACAACATGCTGGATACTTCCCGTTCATAAACAAGTCTGACATTAACTTAACCAGGTATGGAATTTACAATTCAATTGAAAAAATTGTCAATGAACCTTGTATTCTTACATGTCTCAGGAACTCTGGTCTTGTTACAGATGAGAAGATGAAGTATCTTGAGTCATGTGTGAAAACAAGGTACATTCTCAGAGGTCAATTGACAAAAATTGCACCGTTGGCAAATGTCAATATCCGAGTCAACATTCCGACTGAGAAAGGTTCTTCACATGACGACTATGTTATTGACTTCAAATTGCCATGGTTGAAGATTGTACTTGTCCACAACCACTTCATGTTGAACGAAAGTCTTACAAACCCATTGTTCGGAAAAGGCAAGTGCAACATTGTCAGAGCTGTTAACATTCTTTTCGAGAAAGGTTTGTTGGAACCAATTCCAGATGACAAGCTGACAGAAACTTTTGTACCAAAAGACGAAACAAACTTTTCATTGTTGGTAAGACCAAAAGTTGTTCCAGACAAAGTTCTAGCACAAAAGAAGTACACAGCTCCAAAAGGAGTTGGATTGTTCGGATACCAACCTGAACCAGAAGAACTTCCAATGAGGTTGCAAGAACTTCAAGATGCTATAAACAAACTTCCATTGAGACATCCAATCGATGTCAAATTGTATTGGAGAGCATCTGAGTTAGGTCAGAAGGTTTTATATGAAACAGGTTGCTTCGACGATGTTTATGAGATAACAGGCGAGGTTTCTCAAAAGATAAGAGACTCGCTTGAATTTCCACGAACCGGACCCATTGGATGCGATAAGTTCGACTCATACGAAAAAATATACTATGTCGACCTTAACGCTGCGTACATGAGGTTCGTCCAATATATCCCGACTGGAATTCCAAACGAAGATGGAGAGTTCCCGGGAAGGAACTATACAGTTGGAAAAGTCATACAACAACTCTATGATATTAGGAAAGCTTCAAACCCCAAACTTGCAATGACAATCAAATTGCTTATGAATTCGACATGGGGATATTCCATTAAGAAACCTCAAAAGATGAAGAGTAAACACTATGAGAAAGTCGACAACTTTGTTGAAAGGTTCTCCCCTTTTGTTTTGAAATACGAATTTACTCAAGGTCAAGGTGGCTTAGTAACCACAGTAAAACCTATTGTCGAACATTGGTCTTATCCTCAGTTCGCAAAGGCAGTCCTTGACAACTACAACAAATTCTTCTCAGAGGTTAAATCCAAAGTGAAGGTATACTATGAGAACATTGACGCACTCATGACGAACGAAGAAGGCTATAACAAACTCATTGAAATGGGTTTAGTCGGTGAGAAAATGGGCTGTTTTAAGCTAGACAAGGTATTTTCCGAAGTTCATGTAATATCCAAGCGCAAGTACTGGGCCATACTTGAAGACGGGACAGAAATAAAACATTGCATGAAATAAAACATTGCATACCATTTTAAAACGTTTTTAAAACAGTATATTTTTACATATATAAAATGCTTCAGGTTGAAAAACAAAGAACAAAAGTAGCAGATACAAAACCGTTAGACTATATCTTTACAAACGCTGGCAGGACTATATCAGATGAAGAAATTTTATCCGGAGCTTACAGGTTTGACTATCCAGTTCGTTGGCTTCAAAGTCCTTCAGATGCAAAGGCAATAGGATTTAGAAGAGTTTTGTTTTCAAATAGAACTAACGCGTTTATGTTCGCAGTATATTTTCATGGTCAGTATAAAGGTTCTGATGGTCTAATAGAAAAATTTGACGAAATGAAGATCTTTACTATTCGTTCAGACGAAAGTCTTGAAAAAACTCTAAATGACTTTCAAACTCAAATGAACAAATACTACTGGGAATTTCAAGAAAAATACCACTCTTTACTAAATGGAACATACTATCTGAAACTAGAATACGATAAGATGAATTCCACCGTTTCATTTCAAAAGATTGAAATTAACCCTCCAAGAGATACAGAGTTTTTATATTGGGGAGTAGACAAACGTTCTTGGGCACAATTTCTTCGGTTACTAAACCAGAACGAACCATTGCCACCAGATGGTCCATTTAAATTTATACTTCCACCAACAGATTTGACAGTTTATAGAAACGTGTTCGACCCTCAAAATGTCATGTGTCATGCAAGTTTCAGTTCAAGCAACAACAGTTTTCTGTGTATCGGTAAGGACTTTTATGACTTTGCTTCTAAATTCTACGAACCACCTAGTAACAGTTTCTCTGACTTTCAAGTTTGGTTCACAACAAACGGTGTGCAGCATATAATACCTTTGTACTATGACTTTTATCTCGAATTGTCTTTCATATATAACTACGGAAAAGTGCTGAAAAAGTACTGAAAAATATATTTTAGGTGAAGTGGTGAGATCTCACCTGTTTTCTCACCTGTTTTTTCACCCTCTTGAATTTTCATGAATTTCCTTAAGATAGAAAAAAAGTGAGTTAAAATGAGATTTTTATCGTTGTGGTCCGACGGTTAAGCCACAAACGAATGTCCGACGGTTAAGCCAAAAATATTTTTTATTTTTATTGTAAGAACAGTATGACAGTCGAAGCAAAAACGTTCACGAACAAATCTAATGGCGAAACATTCACAAAAGGCACTTACAATGGTATTGAAGTCTTACGTAGAGACAAGGATGGTTATATAAATGCAACAAAGATATGTCAGCAGTTTAGGAAAGACTTTAGAAGGTTGTTGGAAAATAAGTCCTGGGAAGAGTATTTTAAGGCATTTTGTGAAGAATATACCAACCCGCGGAATTCCGCGGGTTGCTTTTTATACACAGTTCATGCAGGAATTCCCGATGAAATCAAACAGGTTAGAGGAACGTATGTAGACCCAAGACTTGTAAACTATATAGCAATGTGGGCTTCTCCAAAATATTGCATAGCAGTTGGAAAAATTATGGACTCCATAGACAAGAAAGTTCATGAGAAATTAGATGAAGAAAAACTTGAAGATACAGCAGAGAATGCTAAACCTTTGTTCGAAGAAGAAGTTAGAAAAATGCATGAAAAACAAATAGAACATGAACGTGAGATATGTTCTGGTTATAGAGACTCTCCATACGAACTAGACCAATGGGAACAAGAAGATTTAAAGAGAGAATTTAGAGAATATGAACTCGCTAAAGTTTCATTAGAAGCTGCAGAAGAGAGGTTAAAAGGTTGGGGTCCTTTTGTACAAAAATATTGTGAGTAAATGAACCATTTTATTTTTATCATCGTAGAAAACACACAAAACTCTTGAATTTTGTATATAAAAAGCAACCCGCGGAATTCCGGCGGGTGGTATATTCTTCACGAAATGCTTGTTTTGTTGAGACTTCATCGTCAATGTTTTGTATAAAAAAAGCACCTGCCGGAATTCCGGCAGGTGGTATATTCTTCACGAAATGCTTGTTTTGTTGAGACTTCTTCGTCAATGTTTTGTATAAAAAGCAACCCGCGGAATTCCGCGGGTTGGTATATTCTTCACGAAATGCTTGTTTTGAGGTCGAGCCATTTTTGGCTCCACCTGTTTTTTCAACCAAAACTCATTTTACTCAGCAAAAATATATTTTAGGTGAAGTGGTGAGATCTCACCTGTTTTTTCACCTCTTTTCTCACCCGTTGAATTTTCATGAATTTTCCCGAAATAAAATAAAAAGTTAGTTTTTTTAAAAAAATATTTTTTTATTTTTATTGTAAGAACATGTTAGCAACAACAGCACCAAACTCGTTAGTCATGAACCCAACATCTATGTTAGTAGAAATGAAAAGCTTCATTCCTTCTTCATATACTTTCGAAACAGAAATCCAGAAGATAAAGCAAGAACTTCTCCAAGGAGATTTAGACTGTAGTGCAAAAGATGAAACAAATGAAGAATATCTTTATGAAATGCAGGATATTATTGACCATCTACCTAAACTTCCTGAAATACAACAACAAAAGCTTACTATTCCTGAATTCGATGAAATAGAAGTCAAAGCAACTGACTCAGTAGAAACCAAGAAGTTCATACGTAAGGTAAACTATGAGTTTCTTGGATTTCATTGCAACCACAAAGTCATGGACAAAGACTGCGATATGTTATATAAGAACATCTCTGACATATACAAATCTGAAGAATTTAAGACCTACGACAACTTTGTTTCGTTAGTTGCAAAATGTGTATGGCAGATAAGAGATAAAGATAAAAGAGGTAAAGTATGGAACGAACAGATAAAACCAGCAACTTTTGAGTTAAGGATGGGCACTCATAGGCTCCTGACAGCATAAAAATGTTATTATCTCACAATATAAAAGGAATCATAGGAATCTACAACTATATCTATATTGTTGGAAGACTTCTTAATGTATCATGCATATAAGTTATATCAATAACTCCATTATGTTATATGATTGTAATCATATTTTCGTTTCATGTTCAAAAACATTAAAATCATACTAACTATATGAGTATTATATTTAGGAAGCTGATATATAGATATGATAAAATGCTAGGTTTTGTGATTAAGAATATATACTTATCTTTTAGAAAATAATACTTTTATAAAAAATTATATCTTATATAATCTAAAAATTTTGGACAATTAAAAAACATTAATTAAAAATAGAAGGTGAAAGTGTTTATTCAAAGAAGGTGCAAGATTATGATGTTTTGAGGGTGAAATAAATTTAATAATTATTTATGTGATTTAAGAGTAATACGATCATCGGTAGCTTGAAGACCTCTCTTTATAGCTCTTAATGCCGCAAACTTTTTTTGAACTTGCTTTGAATTTTTGAATGCTTTGATTAAATCTTTTGTTGTATCATACATTCTGAAATATCTGTTCATCATTTCTGGCATTGTTGGTAAATTTAACCTGTATCTTATTGCTACAATCGTTTCAAACATACTTTCATTGAAATGCAATATTGTGACTGCCATCCTAATTGGCCAAGAAGCATGCCAATTAATATTTTTATTAGCAAGCATTGCTTTGATATGGTTTATCGATTCAACTACTTGAGTTGAATGAATCTTTTTTACCATATCAAAGATTTTTACGGTATCTTCGAGGAATTTTTTAAGTGTTTTTATAGCAGTTTTATTTTTTGCATATTTCCATGGTTTAATCATCTTGCATTTTTCAGGATCTGGACAAAATTTATGATTTCCGGCATAATGTTTAGCGGAATTCAACCATAAAAACTTCTTTGTTTTAATTGACATATGTGTGTCATTGAGAAGTTGCCTAAGCCAACGCAATAAATTCTTTGAAATGCTAGATAAGATTCTGAATTCTGGCAGTTTGAGCTTTTTCTGTATATTGTTAAGAAAATGTCCAGGATCTCTGTATTCTCTGATACCTTTGAACGTATTTTTGATTGTAGAAACAATTTTGACATCGCCATCATGCACAAAAAAATTTACACGTTTTTCATTATTCCAACGCTTCAGCATTCTTTTTAAGCCTTCAAATTCCATTTCATTTGATTTTCCGTTGAAATTACCTTTGAAATTTTTAAAAGATTTAGATATCACTTCCCAATCTACAATTTTTTTGAGTTTCTCTTCTACAAATTGTACATAGCAAAACATTGCATTTCTTCTCTGACTCCAAGAACCGTCAAACAAAAGTCCCGAACATTTTCTCATTCGAGATTTCCAATAATTAACAGATTCTCTGGCAACTTCTATGATAACACGACCAACCTTTTCTTGGACTCGATGAAATGTAGCTTCTGACGGAACTTTGATGTTATTCAGCATGAATTGAAATTCTGATTGGCAAAATGTAGCGCCGCTCAATAATACAGATAGCACAAATTCAACAGTGTTGACGACATATGGCTCTACCCTATTTTTCGCGCTTTGAACTAAGTTCTTTATACGCTTTGCAACTGCTTTTGTTCGCCGCGGCATGAAAAATGAAGAATAACTTGACGGTTTCTTGAACAAATGGTCGCACATTCAAATATTGTGATGTACGATCAGGATAAAAGAATGTTGTTGCCGTGAATTTAGAAAATAGCAAAATTTCAATTTACGCAATCGAGATATAACTTGATCGTTTGAGCGATAACCATGGCACCCATAGTATTAATGAAAGTACTCATACTTACAATTATTTTCTCCCATAGGAATATTGTTCAATATACTTCACCTATAGAGGAAATCTCGAAATAAAATCGAATTTTTTCAAAAATTACAAAAATCAATTTTTTACAAAGATGTTCGAAAAATAACATTATATACGCATCAAATCAAAGCATTATATGGAGCATTATAATTCTATATATGATTGTCCATCTTGCTGTTGTGCTATTTTTTTTAAACAATAATTTCATTGTTGAAATTAAATTTGCAATTTCAGTAAAAATTGCGACCCATCATTTTGAATATAATTGAATTAATACATTTATTGTAAGAATATTATATACCAAATATTAGACTTCCACATGAATCCTGGTATGATATTATAAGTATTGCAAAATTAGAAAAAAATATGCTCATGATATACTAAAATTCATGTTTCAAGGTTAACTTATAAATAAAATAAGTTCGAGAAATGCATCACTAAATATTTGAGCTTGTGCACTATAATGCTATATAATAGTCTTCACTGTTTTTAATATATTGACTTTGCTAGACTTGATTTTTTTCATCACCCTAATGAGTGCCCATCCTTAAAGAAAACCATTGACGCCTTAGTTGTTCTAGCTGGTTTTATTTCAATGTACAATGCTAAAATGAACCCACAATGTTCAAATGTAAAGCAGCAATGAGGAAATATAACTACTCCGTCAAAGAGATAGAAAGAATGCGAAACGACTATGCAGATTTAAAGAAAGAAGCAGAGAAACCAGCAGAAGATAAAATGGACATGTTGACATTTCTAAACAAAAACTATCCAACAGCTGACGATTTCCTTCTATCTGATGTCAAGAAGAAATATAAAGAAACATTCGGCATTGTGAAAACTTTTGACATACTGACAGAAGAAATAGAAGCTACAAAACTGTTTAGGATTTCAAATATACATCGTACAATTCATGTAAAACGCTTGTGAAAAAGAGGTGAGAAACAGGTGAGAAAACAGGTGAGATCTCACCTCTTCACCTAAAATATATTTTTGCTGAGTAAATGACCAAATTTCATGAATTTCCTCATATGTTTGCTACCCCGACTTTTTTCGGCCTTGCATAAAACTCTATGAAATCATGAAAAAATGACCAAATTTCATGATATAACTGTATTTTTTTGACGAAGTGAACTTTTACTCTTCGTAAAAAAAATCCCTGAAATCATGAAAAAATGACCAAATTTCATGAATTTCCTCATATGTTTGCGACCCTCGGAAAACCGAGGAACGAGATTCCGTACGAAAATCGCAAGAATTTGCGACCGGTGGAAAACCGCGGGTCGAGATTCCGTACGAAAATCGTGAAAAAAACTCATGAAAATCGTGAAAAAAATGCTACCCTCGAAAAACCGAGGATAGAGATTCCGTACGAAAATCGTGAAAAAAACTCATGAAAATCGTGAAAAAATGCGAGTACGTTAAAAACCGTAGTCGCCTAAAACTCATGAAAATCGTAAAAAAATGCGAGTAGGGAAAAAACCGGGGTCGCCAAAACTCTATGAAAATCGTAAAAAATTGCGACCCCGACTTTTCCCGGGGTCGCCTAAAACACATGAAAACAGTGAAAAAACTCTATGAAAATCGTGAAATTTCTCTAGACCGAGAATTCTCGGCCTTGCATAAAACTCATGAAAATCGTAAAAAAAACTCTATGAAATCATATCTTTTATACAAGATAGAAAAAATAAAATTAACGCTAGTTTTTTTAAAATATTTTTTTTTATTTTGTATGTAAGAACAGGAAATGACAAACACTGAGTTTGAAACAGTTAAAAAGATAGACAATGAGACCAAGGTGGTTAGAATAGGTGATTTAAACGTAAGATACTCAAAGAAATACAAAAAATATTCTTTGTCAGACATTTTAACACTATCTGAAGGAAAGAAAGCACACGACTGGGTTAGAAATGCTTCTACTCAGAAAATTTTGACAAAAAATCCTGAGCTGATGATATCTGTAAGATTCTATGGAACAAGAGCATATCTTATAGACAAAAGTCTTATACCAGTAGTTTTGTTCTGGATTGACCCAGTTGTTGGATATAATTTCATAACATATGGTTCATTCGATACTGAACGTTGCAGTGAAGGCTTAGTTTACATCGTTCAGAAACCGAAGGACTTCAATACAAAGAGATATAAGATAGGAAGAACATTTAATATAACTCAAAGATATGACAGTATAGTCAATAGAGTTAAGGTTGCGTTCGTTAACGATATGAGAGCTGCTGAAACAGAACTACTTGAAAAGTTTGAGAAAATGTATGGTGCTCCCACGAGAGGTAAAGAAACGTTTGAAGTAGATGAGATAGATAGTGCTATAAAATTATTTGACGAAGTTGCTGAAAAATACATGTAAAGCGTTTATTTTTGGTCTTTTATACAAGATAGAAAATAACGCTAGTTTTTTAAAAAATATTTTTTTTATTTTGTATGTAAAGACAGATATGACAACAACAGAGAACACAACAACTGCTATCGTTCATGAAGCCATAAGTGAAGAATACGAGTGGGTTCAGTTTAACAAACAGTTACGTCTCATTCGTTCGGTCAAAGATGACATGTACCAAATGCAAAGTATTTTGACGGCTTGTTTTGCTCCAGACACTAAACACGCAGACGACTGGTTCAAAAACCAAAGCACACAAGAACTTTTGAGTGAAATTTCTCTAGACCGAGAATTCTCGGCCTTGCATAAAACACATGAAAATCGTAAAAATTTGGCTCCTGCTTTGAGAGGTTGGTATGTACATAGACTTCTTGTAAATGCTGTTGCAATGTGGGCTTCGCCTCGTTATGCTTGGTATATTTACAGACTTCTTGACGAAATTCATAGACAAGAACGTGAAGAGATGGAAAGGAAACTTCAAGCAAAAGATGAAGTCATTGAATCCAAAGACAAAAACATACAGAAAAGAATACCACGTTCGGTACCAAAAGGAAAGGAAAAGAACTATAAGTATATGATTTACACTGAAGAGATGGAAAATGAAGAAGACAGAGATATGGTTATGCTTCATTTAGTCAGAAGAAACAACAAAAGCTTTTACGACTTAGCTAAGATTTACAAATCTGACAGAAATTGGTTCTATCGCGAAAACTTACCGATTTCAATGACACCGAATGAAGATGTTAAACAGATAGTTCAAGATACGTTACCTCAAACACACTATGATATGAAAGGTTGTACAATACTTACATTCAAAGAAGATTTACCGCTACTGAAGGAAAAGATAACAGAGTATTTCGATAACTTCAAAGAGGAAGAGTAAATGAACCATTTATTTTTCAAGCTTGACACCAAAGATGGCTCAGGTAGCTCTATAAGGTAAATTGTCTTGTCCGAGTCCTTCTGGCATTCGAGTCCTTCTGGCATTCCGAGTCCTTCCTTCCGACAGGAAAAGTCCTTCCTTCTGGCATTCCGAGTCCTTCCTTCCGACAGGAAAAGTTTTTCTTTCCGACAGGAAAAGTTTTTCTTTCCGACAGGAAAAGTTTTTCTTTCCAACAGGAAAAATTTTTTCTGTTGTCCGTCCGTAAACCATTCAAATTTTCGAAAATTGAGAACTTTTTGGCCGACCTTCAGGAAAAATTTTTCTTTCCGACAGGAAAAGTTTTTCTTTCCGACAGGAAAAGTCCTTCCTTCCGACAGGAAAAGTCCTTCCTTCCGACAGGAAAAGTCCTTCCATCCGACAGGACACAAACGAATGTCCGACGTACCACCAACCGAGTCCATTCCAAAGCCAGAAGAACCGACAGCCCCAGCACCACAACAGACTAAGACTCAAACACTTACATTTTTACGCTTGACTTTTTACAATTTGAACTTTGTTTGCGTAGATATGAATTCTGAAAGAAGTATGAGGGTCTTGTATGACTTTGTACTTCTCCCATAGTTCATGTCTGTCAAACTTACCTGCCATGGACTCTTTCATAAGTTCCATGAAATCGTCTTCGGACAATCCGGGGAAAAGTATGATATCAGTAAGTATTCTCTTTACATCCTTACTTAAACTCTTTGCTGTCTGTACACAAATGACAACTGAAATGTTAAAGTGTCTGAGCTTCTTGAGAATTCGACACATGTCTTGTTCTCTGTTCTTTAACAAAGGATGAGAAGCAAAGTCATCTAAGATAAGAAGACATCTGTGAGGGTAAGTCTTCCAATCGTAAGATTGCAATTTCTTCGAAAGGTACTCAATCTCTTTCTGTTTGTTTCGGAAGTGTTTCTTCTCTAATATTCTCTGCATTTCCTCATTTGGGTCTTTAAACTTAGAATTGACATACTCATTTATAGCATTGTACTTCAAAACTCTTCTTTGGTACTTCTTTATCCAATCTAACAACTCAGTATCTTTTATACATACTAACTTAGACTTTTTTATAATATCTTTGAACGAATTTACGGTTTGGTCAAATTGACCAGAAGTACTACAAATGACTACTAACTCATAGAATGGGTTCTTCTCATCTAGTTCTTGTTGTTGTGCAGCCATTTTAAGATAAGTGAAAGTCTTACCCGACCCAGGCGGTGCAATTAGACCTGTTATACCATTCTGAGCAAATAGGAACTTGTCATGTATGGGTTTTATCTGAGCATTTTCCAACTTCCTCTTGTTCTTGTTTAAAACATTCTCAAATTTCTTGTCAATGTCAGCAAACTTTTTTTCTAACATATTTTTAGAAAAATTAAAATTTTTATCTTTTAGGAAATGTCTAGCGATTTCGCTATCTATATTCGAGACAAGCTTTTCGACAGCAAAACATCTGTCGACCATAAAATCTTACATAGTGTAAACAAAAAGGTGAATTTGTTCTAAAGTTCTGTTTCTGGGAATATGACAAGAACCATAAAACCTTAAGCAGAGAAGTCTTAAAATTTGTCAATGACAGACTTGTTGACAGAGATGACGCCTCTTGGAGAGATGAAGTCCAACAAAACTTCTTAGAATGCAAAGAAGACACATGCGCTGTTCTTGAAAATGAAATAGAAAACAGAATAGAAGAGCTATTAAATGACAAAGCACTTTTACAAAAATATGGTTCTGAGAAGTTTGACATAACTCCACCAGAAAAGAAGAAGAGAGAAAAGAAAGAAAAGAAAGTAGAAGAAGAGAAGAAAGAACCAGAGCCAGAGAAAAAGAAATTTGACATGTAAAAATAAAATTTTATTTTTAGAACATTTCTGGGTCAATGTCAATGTTCTCTTCCTCTTTAGGAGCAAACACTGGCTTAGACTCTAAAATCTTTTTACCCAATTTACCTTGAACTTCAACTATCTTAGACTCATAATATTCATAGTCGTCTGCTTTCTTTGGTTCATAAGGTATAACAAGTTTGTATGCTTTGCCTTCTTTAAGGTTTGAAAACCTTCTGTCAAAACTTTCTTTGACTGTTAACAAACCTTCTATGTCTAAGTCTTCAAATTTCGCACCATTTTTAGTCACAATAGCAAACTTAACTGGTTCGATGTTCCAAACTTTGTCAAATGTAGACTTTTCAAAATGGTAGAAGTAAACATTCAAATATGTGAATGGGTCTAGTTCTTCTTTAAGTCCTGACATGTACTTGTTGACTGAGATGAATTTCGTCATCTTTTCTATCGGATAAAAAAAATATTTTTTTTAAAATTTACTCAGAAAAATTTTTCTTTGTATATACACCATTCTGAACATCTAAAAGACTTTTGACATTTGCCAAGAATGTTCGTTTAGACGCTGTCATATAACCATACTCTTGACAATACTGTTTATACGAATCGTACAATGACCTTTCATCTAAACACTCAAAGTCAGTTTCATCTATGAACAGTTCATATACACTCTTGTTTGCTTCTAACAATGTTTGTCTCTCTTCGGTATGTGGAATTTGTCTTGGATTGAACTTAGAAATATCTAATGTCATGAAATATGAGAACAAGTGGTTGTAAAAGTTAGGTGTCAAAGTTTCTGCTAAGTCGTCAAAATATTCTGTATCTTGCATATGAGCTTCTGACGTTCTGACAACTACATATCTTCTGTCAGAACTTTCTAACTTCATCGGAACGGCGTTGTTTGAAACCATGACGAAGTTTGCAACATTTTCACAAACTCTTTGGTCTCTATACTTTCTTTCAACAACTCCAACTTTGTCTGTTATAAGACTCTTCAAAGCATCCGAGTTCAAAACTTTTGTTGTATCTATACTTTGAAGTTCGTTACATACTATAAGTTTCATATTCTCTATTGAAGAGTTAAATTTACCGCAGATGTTTTCTAAGTTTGTCATATTCGGGTTCGAATAGCCCTCTAACAGTTTGCATAAGATATCTGTAAAGAAAGTGTTCTTACCTGTTCCTTGTTTTCCAATTACAATGAGAGCAGTTTCATTTTTAGCACTTGGATGTTGTAAGATGTTTGCAAACCAACATAAGATATACTCATAGACTCTTTCGTTTCCATTGCATATAATTTCTTTGACATGGTCTAACCAAGCTTCTATAACATTTTCTTTCCATTCTACTTGTTCGTATTTATATCCAGTGAAGATAGAATAGAAGTTTGGAGAAGGTGTATAGAACTTTATACCACGAACTGAAAAATCTTCTAACTTTGACAATAAGATATCCCAAGCATCTAACATCTTCATACCAACTTGTACGACTTTTATTTTCTTAAGTTTCTGTTTACATTCTTGTTCTGAAACTATTGTCGCTTTAGGTTTGTTAAAGACTACATCCCATTCTTTCATGACATAACATTCTGGGGCAGAGTCGACATAAATGACTAAACGTTTCAAATTCTCGACTGCTTTGTTATAGTCTCGAAATGGACACATATTTCTGAACGCTTGGAAGTCATAAAAATCTGAAACGTCTATTCTGTACATTTTTTTATATAAAAATAAAAAAAATATTTTTTTTATTCTTGAGCTATTTGTTGTTCTTGAGCTATTTGTTGTTGCATTTGTTCCATTTGTTGCATTTGTTGTTCTTGAGCTATTTGTTGTTGAAGTTGTTCTTGTAGTACAATACTTTCACCAGTTGCATCTTCCAATTCGAAACTTTCTGCCGTCATTGACAAATACATAGGACATAAAAGTTTTACAGGAACAAAGTTTGCGTCAACTAAGGTTAAGTTTATGTTTGCTAAAGTGTTTGAGTTTACTAAAGCTGAAAACTCTGCATTCGAATGAACAATAGGCAAACCAGCAGAGAAAGTGTTGTTTATACGCATGAGTATCTTTTGGTCATAGTAGTTTCTGTCGACATTCGAATAGCACTTTGAACCTAAGTTTGAAACAATATATAAAATAGGTGTACTTAAAGTCAATGGAACAGACAAACCTTGTATGACACCTTTTCCTGTTATAGGAAACTGTTGGTAGTAAAAACCAGATATAAGTTTTGTATTATAGCTCATATCGTTTATAGTAAACTCAGTCGGACATCCAAACATAATGAAACCTGCTCTAGTTGCAGCACATGTTACATCCGTCCTTAAAGTATTAAATAAGTCAACAAAACCTGTTGGTGGTATATCTGAGTAAGTATCTTCAAAGGAGTATTTTTTACCATTCACAACAATAAAATCTTCTGGTGTCAAAAGAGCAAAACAGGCTTTAGTCGTCATCGTGTTTAAGGTCAGTTTACAATATCGTCCTTGAGGACTTTGTAAGTTTGTTGTTATAGAATTATATGACTCAGGGTTTTTAGTCGTAATAGTATAAACCACTATGTCTTCTGCCATTTACTTTAGCAAGTAAATTTTAATGAAATGTTGTGGTCGTCAAATATTTTTATGACGTCTGGGAAACTATATTTTAAGTTCAACGTTTCACCTCCTTTCATAACGTATATCTTGTCAATGACATTGTATGAAACACCACAGCAAGCAATGTCGGGTTCTATTTCTTTGATGTTTATATCGTCTGCCTCTGTCAAAAGTTTCAATAGTTTTTCAAAATTTCATGAGGTGCGATGACATATGAGTTCACTTTTACAGGGTTGTGTTCGACCAAGTTTAACATTAGACCTAAAGCTTGACAAATCTTCTCCTGAGTTTTAAGTTTGTCTTTAAGTTGTTGGTAGTCGTTTCGAATATCTGCAACAGAACTTAAGTCTCTGCTAACTTCAGGGTATGTTGGTTGTTCTTTTACAGGAACTATTGTTATACCATCTTCGTCTTCGTATGGTTTCCCCACTTCAACATCTCTTTCTTTGACATTGACAACAACACTTTGACTGTTTGTTTGAGTTGGTGAATTTAACTTCACATCTGCCATCGCCATTAAACCT